GTAGTGGCACAGGAGGAAGAGGGCATGCCTGCCATTTCACACAGTTCCACTGCTGCCAGGAAGCCTAGTGATAGACCCCTTATACCAGAACCAGCTCAACACAAGAATACTGTGGAATAAGAAATTAGCATTCTCTTTATGATTTTGTGCTGCCCTAGGATTTCGCTCTCAACCTGGTTGGTCCACACTAGAGAGGCTGCTGTTGGCCTCATTACAGAATTCTCCCAAAGGCATCTTCACTGCGTATCTGCCTGAAAATGCAGCCTGAAATGTCTTGGATCCTCTTAACATGTTCTAACCCAGCAGTGTGCCTCATTGGTTGGTGACCAGATCCCTCCTAAATCACCCCCTTAACAGCTGGGCCAGCTCCTGCCTTTGGGTGGTCTTTCCCTTCCTAGTGCATCTGCACCCCACGAGGCACTGGCAGGAACAGGACTTGGAGCCAGGACAGCCCTGAGAATCATCCTGTCGTCTGAACCGGGAGACAGCGCCCTCAGCAAAAGGCCTGGCGCCATCATTTGAAGTCTGCATAGTGCCCACCCTCCAGTCAGATCACAGGTGGGAAATCGAGAACAGAAGGTGAGAAACAGATTCTGTGTTCACATGATTATTCTTATTTATTGAGGTCTGTTTATTCTCCACGGGTGCTTTTTTTCTCCAAGTAAACAGAGCAGGCGCAAATATCTATAATGAATAAATTTATTGTCTTACAAAAATCATTGTCTAGAAATATGGGAATACAAGAAAAGATATTTGCAGTCAGGTGTCTGGTGGTCAACAGCCAGTACAATTCATAAAGGGGGAAAATCCAAGATTCCAAACCCACAGGACAAATTCTTCCTAACAGATGTTAAAGCTTTTAACCCAAAAGGTTTGTGTTTTCAAGCACATTGCAGAGGATCAAGGATTTATAATTAACACTGATTCATTGTCACTGAATGTTTGTAATTACCACTTTGACTAGAGAGGTACAGGATATGAAGCACAGTCAAAACTGAATACATTAAATTGTTATAGAGGCAAATAATATCTTCAACATTGTCTTAGTACTGTAGTGTCTAAGGCACTTTCTGTAATGTCAGTTTGCTTAACTATCAACCAAAAACAGGATGCTAAATGTTCACTGTAACACTGTCCAAAGGGAAGGGAGAAGGAGAAATGAGGAGTCACACCCACTGGCATGTCAACATTCAGGAGGATGGCCTCTGTTCTGGAGGTTCCATAAACCTCATTCACAAACTTGGAACAAGCCTCGGACACAAAACCAATATTCCCATTTTGGGCTCAAAGCAGCGGCTGAATTTGCAAGGTCAGCGTGAGGGCCTGGTTGGCGAGGGTGGGCCTTCCACCAGCTCGGCTTAGGGGTCCACGGCTGCTTGCTCCTGACGTGAGGAGGGCGCCGGCAGAGCCCGGCGGTTCGGGAGACCATCTGGAAGTCTACGTGATCCATGGCTGCCAACCGGGGCCTTGGCTGCACTGTGGCCACTATCCCTGCTATGCACAGACCAGCCCTGGCCAAGGACAGTTCACATGAGTAGACGCGGGACACCATCGACTCGAGGGGCAGGCCCCCTTGGGGGATGGGCAAGGTAACCCCAAATGGGTGTTGCTTCCAATCCAGCCCACCCCTCCCACTCTTTCCAAAGCCCCTTTCACAGTTTGCTCACTGAAATAGTGTTGATCATTATTGGAAGGATATGAGAGATACAATGCAGTTTAGGGTCCACCATGGTCTAGGAGACTTGATGTGGCTGAGGATCGGGGGCCACGTGAACACAGAACTAGGTTACCTGTCTGTACGACAGAGAGCATGCAGAGTGACAGCAAGGACCACGGCGCTGCCCCAATGACCCAGCGACCTGCAACGAAGGGCCTGGAGTTTGTTTGAAAAAGGGTTCTTACCATGTTTATAAAATGGTCTCTTGATGACTATATGGAAAATAGATGCAATGATGAAACAATCTGTTTAATATGTGTGTTCTGTGTGTGTCTATGTATAAAAAGGGGAGCAATTGTACCTAAGTTTGAAGCAGGATACAGTATTTGTTGGCTGGAGAGCCTTAAGACACAGTTGATCTTTCAGGAAGGAATCCTGTAGCTTGCCAATTTCCTAAATCTGCAGGAGGCCCCAAGGCAGGCTGGTACCGGGTGCGTTCCTAAGTGTCCCACTGTATCGCCTCCTCTGGCTTCCTGCGACTTTACTCTGACTGGGTTGGCTGCGTCTCATTGACATCACTGGTCTTACTTTCTGTGTCGTCGTCGGAGAGCTCCAGGGAAGCCCCCTCAATGTGCAGCTGGCGCCGGCCAGATCGGCTGGAAGAAAAGGTGATGGGGCCGCCCCGTCTGGAGAGAACAGGAAGCAGATGCGGGTGGGTAAATAGGAGCACATGGCTGTCAACATGTTCAGCCACTCAATGCCGCGAACCTCCCCCATGCGTCCCTTCCTCAAACACATGACCCTGTGGGGGAAAGACTGCTTTTCTACCTTTCCCATAACCCTGCCTGCAGATTAAGCGGAGCAGAGTCCTCAGAGAACTGGGGAAGACTGGATTCAGCCTAGGACTGTCTGTGATGGAAATGGTAAGAAAGATGGATTAAGGCCAAGCTCTACCTGTTAACCAGGGATCAGCCAGATAGCAAGTATTTTGAGGATTTGCAGGCCACGTAGGGACTCTGTTGCATATTCTTTGTGTTTTTATAACCCTTTAAAAACGTAGCACAAAAGCAGGGTATGCACTACGTGTGCCCTCATTTGCTGAAACCTCAGCTGACTTCTTGTTCTGGGGCAGAGACTTCAGCTGTAGCTCTCCCATGCTCTACCCTCTCACTGGTGCACAGTGTGGCGAGGAGGACAGCGCTGAGGAGGGCTGAGGGCACCAGATCGGGGAGGAGCTCCTATCCTGCTTTTAACAGAGGCTGGGACCTCTCCTTGCTAGCAGATGTCTGGATGTGGACGGACACCTGACCCAGCTCAAGCCTGGTGTGGTCCTCTAGTGACTGGCAATGAGTGGGCCTGCTCCTCTTTTATTCTCCTCAAAGGATGACTATAAAGGTTGGAAATCTTAAATAAGTGGTTCAGGAGAAAGAATGGGTCACTGTGCATGAATCTAAATAAACTTTGTCCGACCAGCTGTGCCCCAAGCCTAAGCTAACCCACAAAGCAGCTGCCTGCCAGCTTGGGTCCGCATGGCCGCTCACCTCAGCCGGTTCTTCAGGGTGCTGACCTCGCGGCTCAAGCCCTCATTGGCCTCGGTGGCATCATCCAGTTCCCGCTGGAGTTTACGCCGAGATGCGTTGGCACGTGTAGCTTCTTCTTCTGCTTCCTCCAGCTGGCGTTTAAGCTGCTTCATCCGCGCATTGGCCTTCTCCATCTTGGGGAGGTACATGAACCAAAACAAAGCAAACTGGTGAATCCGGTGTCCGCCTCTTTGCACCCCAAGTGTGGCAATGTGGCCCTCTGCCTTTGTGAGCGTGCGCACACAGATGCGCACACACGTACACACGTGCTTGGGGGCTGGTCAGAGGCTCTGTAACCAGCCTGCTGTTCTCAGCAAAACCAGCATCTACAGAGCACACTAGGCCAACAGAAACAAAAAAATACTCAAGACTTTTTACCGGTGAGTTTCTGCAGAAAAATGAGTGTTTAATATCTTCACACACATGACCTAATGGACTGAAAGGGAATTGTTATTCTTGCAGAATCCAGAGGAACCAGCAATGTGGGATAATCCCCAACCCTGGGAGAGTGCACAATGCATTCTTACACCTTCTTTCAAGTACGGGCATCTCAGATACTATACTCGGATACAAGCAGAAAGCCACCCTGGGATGACCTGACCCAAGAACTAAGAGCCTCCCTTTTGGGCCCTCCATTCCTGAGCCACACAGGGACCGGCCAGTGTCTTGCGAGTCCAGCTCATACCACCTTCAACTGTTCTCAGTGCTGTAGTCTTCAAGGGTAGAGGTGGGACCTGACTGAATGAAGTAGGGGAGGGTTTGGGCCAAAGGCAGTGAAATCCTCAGGGGAGGGAGGGGACAGCTGCCCACACTGCAGTCCGGACAGTTCTGACCCATGGTTCAAAGTTCTGCAGAACATTCCCTGCATCCTTAGAAAGGGCCTGGATGCAGACACTGAAGACCACCCTGGTGCAGCGTGCAGGACACCTCTCTTCCCTTCACTTTCTAGTCACTGTCTCCTGTGTCCACCCTGCATCCAGCCAATACCTCATGACTGCCAGTGATGCCCAGGAACTATACTAGGCATTAGGGAGCTAACAGGGAGCAAAACAGGCAGAAATCCCTGTGCTCACCAAGCATTCATTCTAGTGGAGAACGCAGGAGCTTTACAGTTCAGTCCTCACTGAACTTGCTTCCTGATCTGCTCTCCCCACTCTCCTGTGAGTGCCCCCTTTTTACCGCCTGTGTCCCCAGCACCCAGAGGTACCAGCCAGGAACATGGAATGGCACATGTGAGTTGAAACACCAGAATGAGGAGGCTCCTGAATGCTGCCGGTCAGTTGTGCCACCAGCTCATTCTCCACCAGTTCCTTCACTAACACGCTTCCAGGGAGGCATTAGCGTACCTGTTCTTTGTACTGATCTGCATGTCGACGTTCATCTTCCACCTGCATGAAGATTTCTTTCAGCTTCTTCTCAGTACGACGGACTAATTTGTTGGCGGCTGCTCGTTCCCTATGAAAGTGGTCACATTAGTTCTGAAATTCTTGAAATGATATTTGTATGGGAAAAATATTTTAAGAGCCCTTTTTCTTTGGGAAGATGACAGATGGTAGAGGCATTATGGACCTCTCTGCCCAGAATATCACGACTAATGTACTAAAACCTTCTGGTCAAAAAAGGAATTGCCTTTAATATATTCCTCAATAGCAAAAGGTAGAGAAAGCAAATTATTCCTGTCCTGCACGTGTAGGTATTAATCACTGTACACAGGTATTCAGTTATATTACTACTCAGTTATATTACTTTTTTTGTTTGTTTAGATGGAGTCTCTGTCAGTCTGGCTGGAGTACAGTGGTGCCATCTCTGCTCAATGCAACCTCCACCTCCTGAGTTCAAGTGATTCTTGTGCCTCAGCCTCCCAAGTAGCTGGGATTACAGGTGTGTGCCAGCACACCTGGCTAATTTTTGTATTTTTAGTAGAGGCGGGGTTTTACCACATTAGCCAGGCTGGTCTTGAACTCCTAACCTCAGGTGATCCGCCCACCTCGGCCTCCCAAAGTGCTGGGATTACAGTTGTGAGCCACCACGCCTGGCCTGTATGCAGTGATCTTCTAAACAGCAAATGTTACATACAAGCTACCTGTGAGTTATACTGAACATAGACTTTTGAAGACACAATTCTTAGTTTAATCACCTAAACTTTCAGCCTGAGAAATAACCCAATTTATTAAGTGATTGTTTCACTTGAGAATTTACAGGACTTTGGCAGCTCACACTGAAAACAAACAAAAATCCCCTATCCTCACTCTTTGGTTAGAGGTGAAACAAGCCCATATTTGTAGACAGGTCTACGTTGTCCCATATGAAGGAGAGGTAACTTATTTGGAGGACTCCATGGAAGATAGAAAAAATTACTTTGTTCCTTGACAAATATGCAAAAATGGATAGGGAGGGAGTCAGCCCAAAGAGTGAGTTATGTTACTTCAGCCCACTGGAGTCTAAGAGTGGAGTGGGAAGTCCTGGGGCATGGGGCTGGGGAGGATGCAGGGTTCTGGCCATAAGCCCTGCATTTCTGGGCTCCAAGCTCCCCAACCAGAGGGTGAATCCGAAGGTCTGCCTGGTTCTGGGGAATATGGCATGATAGCTTTGTAAATGCCTGCCTGCCAGAGCTGTGCTGTATAGTTTCTCAGACATTTCAGAATGCTTGAATACAACAATATGAAAGCTGTTAAGCCATCCCTTCCTGTGGGGAGAAGAAAGGCTAGGATTTTTGTCATACTGCATTTCATCTCTGCCAGCAAACTAGCATTTCATGTGATACCACACACTTGGCAAAGGGACTTTGGGTAGGAGATGCAAACTCAGGGGGCACAGTGTAGTTAGCCCTGAGCCGAGTCCTAAAGCCCAGCCTTCCCTGAGTGTTCTCAGAGGCCTGTCCTTCCACCCTCTGAACGCTCGCAGCTCTTCTCTCAGCTCACGCCAACTTCTGTCGCCCACTCTGGTTGTACATGTTCTCTGCCCACGTGGGGAGCCCTTCATGGAAGTGGCATGTCTGTCTCTGACTGAGCCTGGTGGGTAAGTTTTGATATATAACAACAAAAACCTCTTACTTGGCTTCCTGCTCAAGCTGCTCCTCCAGCTGCCCAATCTTGGCCTCCAGGGCTGAGATGGTGGCCTTGAACTTGGACTTGACAGCACCCTCTAGCTCCTGCAGCTTGGCCTTCAACTCCTTGTTCTGCCGCTCCAGTTGCTGGCGTGCGTTGTCACTCTTCTGGGCGGCGCTGCGCTCGGCTGCTAGCTCGGCATTCAGTGTATCCACCTGGAGAGGAGAGAGTTTAGTCACTTGTGCCTGAGGGGTGGCATAGCCCTCCCTTGGTGGCGGGCCCCTGTGTGGGCCACCTGCAGAGTGGTCTTGCGGAAGCGGTCGTTGAGCAGCTCCATGTTGCTCTGCTCCTCCTCAAGCTCCTCCTCCAGCTGTGCAATCCGAGCCTCCAGACGCCGCTTCTCATCCAGCAGCGCAGACCTGGCAGGGAAGAGGGGGAAGCAACAGGTCAGTCCCAGCTCAGCACAGCACGGGAGCTTCAGGGAAGACTCCTCCCCGACCCTGGTGCTGAAACCTGAGCAGCCATTCTCAAGTTTCTCTTTTCCTTGCACCCATCCCCGAATCCATTAGTAGGTCCCACCAACGACACTTGCAAACACCCTCCCCCACTGCCACCACCCAGATGCAGGCCTGTCATCTCTCACCTGGACTGCTGGGGTGGCCTCCAGCTGCCCTGCCTGCCTCCCTCCAGCTGTTCTCCACAGACAGCTGCCAGAGTGAACTTTCAGAACACAAGCACGAGCCCAGCCCCCCACCCATAAACTCTAGTGGTTTTCCAATGCACTGAGAATACAATTCTCAGTCCTCATATGGCATGCTCAAAAAGGTAGATGATGAACCTTTGGTTCAATAATTCAGTGGAGAAATCAACTGAATTGGAAAAAAGATAATGACTTTTAACGAAAAATGAAATCAGATAAAGGTCATATCTGAGGAACCTGCTTGCTAAACCGAATGAACTGGAAAGTGAAGAGTGCAGTGCCAGTTAGTGCAGACCATGGCTCACACCTGCAGGACTCAGGACTGGCATGGGGTACGATGGCTGAGGCAGCCCAGGCCCAGCGAAGGAGGAGCAAACCACCTGCTGATGCCAGGTGTGTTGACACCTCCAGCCTTCTCAGCAGTGCCCTGAGAACCCGCCTCTGCCCCTGGCCATGGAAGACTCACTTGCCAGAAGTGCTGTTGGCTATCTCATCGGCCAGTTCGTCTCTCTCCTGCTCGGCGTGTCGGCGGGCTCGTTCAGACGAGGCAAGTTCCTAAGCAGTGAAGACTGTGTTAAGCTCTGGCTGTGAACAGTTTCCTCACCTGTGGAATCTGACAGTGGCTGGAGCTGCAGTGACCTTGTTTCTGACACTGTTTACCTGCACCTCAAGCTGTCATTTAGATTTGAGAAATTAAACTGGCAAGGAAATCTGTTTGGTGCAGGTCAGCCAGGTGGTGTGTGGTGTCAGCATCTGACACAGAAATGTCCAGAGGGAACTCTTCCCTGCCATCAGGGCTTTGCTGTCACTTCCAACCTAAGAGGTGGTGATGTTCCTGCCCTTCTTGGAAAGCAGGTACTTCTTAATATAAACTGAGCGGGAACTTTATACAAACCCTGGGCCCTAAGAAACATGAGCTGTACCTACTTACTGCCCTGCGGAATCTTTCACATACATAGTTTGAGATCAAGTAAACTGGCTGCACGGACCAGTGTGGATCCAGGCAGCTGTGCAGCAGCGAGGGTCAGCGCTCCCACAGGGAGAAGGCAGGTGGGTGCACCCGTGGGGCTCAAGTGTTTGCAGAGCTGGGCCTCTCTGGTAAGGGCCTCTTGAAGGTGATGGAGCCCTGGAGAGTCAGGCCTTTGTGGCTCCTCAGCTGGCTCTGTGAGGACTGGGCAGAACAATGGGGACAGCCCTGTGCCTGCCAGCCCATGAGAGGAACTGCATGATGGCTGTTTTTCCACAAACTTCCTTGGAAAGATGATTTGCCACAGAAAGGAGTCAAGGGTGCATTTATTTTATAAATGAGGGAACTGAGGCCCACCTGGACAAAGATATTGGCCCAAAGTCCCAAGGTTGGTCAGCAGCAAAAAGTCGGTTCTGACTCCCTGTTCAGGGCTCTTCCCACCAGCTGCCCTTTCCAAAAGATGCCACATTTGGCAAGAGCACACCTTGAAGGTGTCTTAGGAGCAGGGCTGCACGGGAGCTCCTCTGCCTGCTCCAGCACATGCAAGTGCCTTACATGAGTGTGGGCTGTGGGTCCTCTGACAGGCCCGGGGCAGGGTGGGAGTCAGGAGGGAAAAAGAGGCAGCACCTGCTCCCGGCCTGACCCCAGAGCCACTGACTCCAGACAGCTCTGCCATCTGGCCTCTGGTGTTCTGCCCTCTAGGGCTTTTAAGACACTCACTATCCACTGGCTGGGAGTGCTTTAGGTAGACAGAGGGACCCATAGGAGAAAGAAAAGGACCCTGAGGCTTCTAAGCCAAATGAACAGAGGTATCTGAGGGAAGGAAAAGTGTCAGCAATAGGGGTAAAGGCAGGGCCAGCTTTCCAGCTCAGTCTCTTCCTAACGCACTGTGATTCAGACCTTGCCTGAGAGTCTGAAAGAAAAAACATGGAGCATGGTACAGAGAATGCCGCCTGGACATGTGGGTAATGGCCCAGGGGCGCTCTCTAGGAGGCAGGCTCCAAGAGCCAAAGCGCCTGGGGAAATGAGTATTTGGGCATCTCACCAGTCAACCCCATGATGGATACATAGAGCTTACACATCTACTTCATTGACGAACATGCATCGTTTTTAAGCATACGTGGAACATTTACAAAAACAAATGTGTTCTAGGTCCCAGAGCCCTCTCAACATTCTCTGACCACAATGTGATAAAGCTAAAATCAACTTAAAAAAGAAGCAAATGCCATACATTTGAAAATTGAAGCCACAAGCTTAAATTATTCATGGGATAAAGAAGAAACCATAATAGGAATTAGAAAAATTTAGAATTAAATGACAATGAGATGACTCCACATCAAAAATCTGGGGAATTTACAGTCTTTTATAGACATATTAGACAAGAAGCTTGAAAGCTGATGAGCTAGGTGTCCAACTCAAGAAGTCAGAAAAACGAGTAAAAAATGGTGAGGCAGAGGACAGCCGGATGAAAACCTCCCAAAACTGGCTCTCAGGTTCTCTCAGGGTCTGCTTGGCATTTACTGACCTGGTTTTCAGTTCCTCATTCATTCCTGACTCCTAGAGAGCCATCCTTTCTTGCAAATTCAACTCTGCCTTTGCTAATATTTTACCCAAGATTTCTAGGTGTTTGTATTGGGAGTTTTTTCATATTAACTGATACTAACATTTAACTTATCTTTCCAGGTTTGAAGAAAATTTCGATTACCCATCATTTACATGGTAATGTGTATATTTAAGCGTGTCTTGCTCTGTTATAATTCCTGTAGGCAACTTATCTGTGTCTGCATCATGAGAACTTACAAAAAAGATAAATAAAGGAATAACAGGAATTCAATGAAAGAAACTTCTCTCCTTTTAAAAAAGTTATCACATGAATAGTGCTTCTGTGTAAAAACAGGCAATTTTGCATCAACAAGGTTGGGGTTACACAGTCCTCACGCTTATCAACACTAAAGTATCACTTCCCTTTCCTGCACAGGGAGCAGGCCGAGAAGGTGGCCTGAAAAGTTACTCATCAGCTCCTTTGCCTTTAGCGAGGTAGAGGAATATACATGAGCAGTGTTGAACTGATCACTTTCTGTTTCCAAACTGAAGTAACAAGGTTGGAGACCATATTAAAAGTGGATACTAAAAAAAAAAAAACCAAAAAACCCAAAATAAATGCAACAACTAAAATGGATACTGACATTACAGTGGGCCACAAAGATATTAAAAAAATTTTTTTTGATCTTGACAAATTTCAAGGACAAATATATTGAACAAATGGAAAAGTAACAAACCAACCTCTTGCAATTGAAGGATTTCTGCTTCCAGACTCTTCAATTTCTTTTCACTCTCTTTGGATTGAGCAAAAATCTCATCTCTGGATGCACGAGCTTCTTCTAATTCACGTTGGTAATCCTTCATCTGAGCCTAAGATTAAATAAGAAGGTTTTGGGGGTGATTTGCATCCTTAGTTTTAATTAAAAAAATTTTTTTAAGAGATGAGCTCTCGCTATGTTGCCCAGGCCGTTCTGAAACTCAAGGCCTCAAGCATTCCTCCTGCCTTGGCCTCCTGAAGTGCTGGGATTACAGGTGTGAGCCGCTATGCCTGGCACCATTCTTAGCTTTTAAACATGGTTCTTTTTCTAGATTATAAAAGTAATATACATTCACTGTAAATATAAAAGCATATGGAAATGACAAGGATATCATAAGAAAACTACAGATCAAAATGAAATCCCTTATGAATACAACTGCAAAGATCTTCAGCCACATAGTAGCAAAATGAATCTGGCAACATGTAAAAAGGATCATACTCCACGACCAAGTGGGATCTCTGAGGAGTGCAAGATTGGTGGACAACGAAAAGTGAATTAATGTAACCATATGATCATCACAATAAAAGCTGAAGAGGCACTTGACAAAATCTAATACCGTTTCAATATAAAAATACTCAAGCCATGAACAGAAGGAAATTCAACTCTTGATAGAGGGCATCAGTGAAAAACTGAGCCAATATCATATGTAAGGATCAATGACTGAATGCCTTCCCTCTAAAAGATGAACAAGACAAGGATGTGTTGCTAAGTGCGCTCAAGCATCTCCTGTGGACACAGTGGACACACGTGGCCTGCTGCCCCACCCATGGCCATGCTGACAGTGGTGCTGTGCCCCCACGGTGGGTGACAGCGGTGCAGTGCTGTCCCCTGTGTAAAAGCCACACGGGTCATGTGGTGCCATGCAGAGACTCCGTGGGAAGTGGCACGTACCTGGAGCTTGCGGAGCTGCTTGATCACCTCATCCCGAGCTTTGTTCGCAGCCTCGATCTGGGCTTCGAGGTCCTTCAGGTCTATCTCCATCTTTTTCTTGGAAGCCACAGCCAGTGCCCGCTGTTTCCTCTCGTCCTCCAGCTCTGCCTCGAGCTCCCGCACCTAACGAACAGCATTGGATTATGCTGGGTTAAGTCCAAGTATCCACTCAGAGAGCAGGCAGCCTGTCCTCAGGTGGGGGCTCTGGTGACTCGGGTGAGTAGAACCTTCTGTTATTCTGTAGAGGTCTCTGTTACCGAATAGTTATTATGAACAGAAAACCACAGTAGCTGAATTTTGTTCAAAGAGATGTTTAAATAACACCACCTAGTACAAACCACCCCACTGACTGCTTCAAGGGCACACGAGAAGGCAGCCAGTGACCTGAGCTCAGAGTGTAGATGAAGCCAAGATGGAAAGACCCGAGATGATGCAGTAATCATGTACTAAAGGCTGGGGTAGGCACAGAGTGGGCGTGGGGTAGTTGCTAAGAGGTGCAGATGGCATGTCTGTTTCCTAAAGTTGTGAGAATTTGTGGCATGGACACGTTACAGGGGTGTCAGAACCAGTCAGAAACTGCCTTTAATGAGCAGGAAAGTGGGGAGCAGTCAAAGCTGTCCAACGGAGGAGGGACAAAATGAGGGCCAGTTCGGGAGCAGGCAGATGGGAGAGTGAGGATGAGTAGGATGTGGGCTGGAAACCGAGGGGGACTAACTCTGTGGTGCTCTTCACTCTGTGAGCCCCATAATGTGCAGTGGGGATGGGGCACTACGCTCACACTGTGTGAGGGGTGCTTAGAAGAAGGTGCTCGGGAGTCCTTAAACCAAATCCTAATGCCTCAGTCACCAGAAATGAAGCCGTTGAGCTCCAAACCTTATCAGCCCATGAGTCCACGGGGACAGTGTGCCACTGCCTTGACACGCTCTTCCCAACCTGTCCTGCTTCCTCCGCTTATTCAGCCATAAATGCTTTGTCATGTATTTATTAAGGTACAGGGTCATAAATATCTTAATACCTGCGGCCTAGGTATTGCTCTAGCAGCTAGAGGCTTGGGTGAGCAAGGAAGGGTCCCTGCCTTCACAGAACTCACGCTTCCCGCAAAGAGGATGGCGGCTGGTGTGGAGGCAGCGAGGCCTGGTGGAGTGGTGGCTCCACTGGTCCTCACCAAAGGGGAGAAAGAAGGCTGCTGCTGCTGCTCCTCTGCAGGGGTTGGTGTGGGAGAGGAGGAGCAGGGCAGCTGCTCCTGCATAATACAGAGGCGCTCATCGTCTGCTTGCTGGATTCTGCAGAGATCCGGAGCTGTACCTCAAGGCACAGGAGAGCAGGAGGCTCCTAATGTAGAGCCACTTACGTGATATTTCAAAGTTTGGTGGTTTAAAAAAATGTCTAGAAATTCTTTAATATTCCCCACCTTAAAGAGTTGGAGTGTAATCTCTCTAATGTGGGCCAGTCTTAGTGACTCGTTTCTAACAAACGGAATAAAAAAGTGATCACATGAGACTTGGGAGATTAGGTCATAAAAGGCCTGGAAGCTTCCTCCTTGCTTGCTTTCTTTTGGATCTCTCAGTCTCCTGAGGCTCCCTCCAGGACACTCAGGAAGCCCATGTGGTGAGCTGCTGAGGCCTCCTGCTGACACCATTTGGGTGAGCCAGCTTGGCACAGCTCCTCCAAGCCCACTTTGGGCCTTCAGATGATGCAGCCGGGGCTGAGGTCCTGACTGTACCAGACCCACTGATTCAACAGCTTCCCAATTCCTCACCCACAGAAACTGTGACATAAATGTTGTTACAGTTTGCAGTAATTTGTTGTTTGGAGTAATTTGTTATCCAGCAATAATTGACCAATAGTTAGGAGAGGGAAATTAACAAAACAAAGCAAAATTAAATATATCCCAAATCTGGCTAGGGGTGGTGGCTCATGCCTGTAATCCCAGCAATTTGGGAGGCCAAGGTAGGTGGATCACTTGAGTCCAGGAGTTTGAGACCAGCCTGGCCAAGATGATGAAACCCTATCTCTATTAAAAATACAAAAATTAGCCAGGCATCATGGCGCATGCCTATAGTCCCAGCTACTTGGGAGGTTGAGGCAGGAGAATCACTTGAACATGGGAGGCAGAGGTTGCAGTGAACCAGTATCATGCCACTGCACTCCAGTCTGTATGACAGAGCAAGACTCTGTCTCAAAAAAGAAAATAATACACACACACACACACACACACACACCCTAAATCCAAGACTTATTGCCATGACTTGTAAGGAACTGTTAAAATATCCATCCACAATTAGTTTTTTTTTTTTTTTTTTTGAGACGGAGTTTCGCTCTCGTTACCCACGCTGGAGTGCAATGGCGTGATCTCGGCTCACCGCAACCTCCGCTTGCTGGGTTCAGGCAATTCTCCTGCCTCAGCCTCCTGAGTAGCTGGGATTACAGGCACGCGCCACCATGCCCAGCTAATTTTTTGTATTTTTAGTAGAGACAGGGTTTCACCATGTTGACCAGTATGGTCTCGATCTCTTGACCTCGTGATTCACCCGTCTCGGCCTCCCAAAGTGCTGGAATTACAGGCGTGAGCCATAACGCCCGGCCCCACAATTAGTTTTTAAAGTAAACTTTTAGACTAGAAGTTTAACATCCATGCAGAAAAGTGTCTGATATACATTCAGAAAAATATACAACTTAGATGGATAACAACTTTATAAAATGAAAAATTTAAGTATCTGCTGTTTTATTCCTTTTGAAAAGTGATTTAATTATTAGGACCTGTGATCTGAACTGCAGAAATCTGCTGAACCACTGTGTCTGGTATGCATCAATTCTTTCCTATACCCACATTCTAGGACAAGGAATGTGAACCTTGGGAGTCTGCTGAGGGCTTTCTAATTGATAAGTGTCCTGGCTTGTAAGCAGCAATGATACTGTCTGAGAAGTAGAAAAACCTAAACCAATTACAATAAAATTTAAATAAGAAAATTCTCAAATGACCAAATAAATCCATTTTACTCCACGTGTTACTCAACTCCGTGTTTACTCAAATGTGTTCTAACATAAACAAACAAGATACTGAGCCAGACCTGGGCTTTGGGGGCCTTCAGACCCTTGTTCTGGAGGCCACACCCCTTTGACCTACCTGTTTAATCAGCAGCCGCTTCTTCTCTTCATTCTGCTCATCTCTGGTTTGCAAGTCTCTCTCAAACTGGGCCTTCATGGCCTGCATGTTGACTTCCAGACGAAGCTTGGCATCTTCTGTGGCCTGGAGTTCGTCTTCCAGCTCCTCCAGCTGGGTCCTCATTTCCTCCACCTGCTGCTCCAGGGCTCGTTTGGATTTTTCAAGTTCGTGAACCTAAATCACCGAAGCATCAGGAAAAAGTTGACCTGGGCAGAGGAACGTGTGAAGAACAGCACTCTCCCTGTTTTACAGGGCCACTCAGCATGCTGGCCACTTTGGTCCCTCTGGGCCGGCTCCCTGCCACATGCACACACGTCCTTCCCTTTCCCGCTCAGGCTGCTGCTATTCCCCATTTCAGCGTATGCAGTTCAGAACTACAGTGTGGATTTTATCACACATGTTCTTTGGTCATCCTCCTCTGATGACCTTTAAGCAGAGAGCTCTTCAGTGAGCCAAACAACAATGGAAACAGCAATGCCGGGGAACCTGTCTGCTGACTGAGGAAGAAGTACCACAGTACACCTCTTGCTGTAGAAACGATGATTCCTATTGAAAAGCACACGTGGAAAGTGCTATGAGGGTGGCTTAGGCAGGACACAGTACAGAGGCCTCATCTTTCTCTGGACAAAGATCCCCCCCAGCACCATCTCCCTCATTCTCTGCACCAGGCACTGCGTTGAGAGCTCCACCTCCTGTCCCCTTTGATCCTTGAGGCAGCCTCTGGAGGGAGGACTTGGTGCTTCTGTGCATCCCCTCTGGGGTCCAGGACACCTCAGTTCTCACAGGATAAGCACGGGGAAACTCAGGACAGGAGGAAGGCCCATTTCTATGCAGTGTCTGGTGCTCAGGCACAACAGATGTGTTTGTGGCATGAACATGTGAGTGTGGATTCTACAGAAAATGAACATGAAATAAACTGTGGAGTTCTCTCTCCACATTTTACTGTGTAATCATGGTCACTTCTTTCAGTGGCCTCTTTTTGTCTATGGGGCTAGTCCCTGAGTGCCAAGTTGTGGGAGATGCAGCAGGAAGGTGGGACCACCTTTGCCAACTTATGATGTGGCTGGATGGCCCACAGTCCATGAAAATGAGACCCTGCCTCTTGACTTTATGCTTTTCAAAGCACATACAGTAACTTCATGAAATTGGACAAGTATTATGTCCATCTGACTGATAAGGAAACTTAGGCTTAAAAAGTTTAAGTGGCTTCCCATGGTCAGAATGGAAACCTGTGGAGGAGCCAGGCTGAGAACCTTGTCTTTGGATACCAGGCGTGGGTTTATTTTGCTGTCTTCAACATGTCATATACTAAGGGAGGGAAGGAGGGTAAATAAATATCATGGCAACTCTTTAGAAGATGTATGCAATGGGAAGAGAAACTGTGACAGAAGCTTCTAAGCTGTGGATAAGCCCCCAAAGCTACCGAAGCTCTCAAAGAAAACAGTGGGACCTCCCTGGGAAGACCTAGGTCAGAGGAAGCTGCCATTCCCTCCTCCTCCCCCCCTCCAGGTCCCCACTCACCTGGATCTAAGGGGATCCTGTGGTCTCACATTTGATAACTACGTGTGATGGCAAAACCATGAAGCCCTTTTGTTGAAAGCCCCCCTGCCAGGATGCAGGCTGGGGCAGGGAAAGCGGCCAGGAGAAACATGTTCCCCTCCGGCCAGTGCTGCTGCAAGAGCTCCACATCTGGCTTGTCATGGATGAGTGGGGGAGACTGCAGAAAACCTGACATCTGGTCCCAGAAGACTTGAACCCCTGACTCAGGCACAGGCCAAGACACTCCTAGATGGCTTCAGTGTCGGGCTGTGCATTTCCAGGTCCTTCAGGCACCCCTAAGGAGTTGCCTGCTCCCTTGCCAAGGCCCCAAGGGATACTCTCCCTTGCCAAAGTGCGGAGCCCACAGGTGACTTACATTCTTCCCCACGTCATCTTTGGAGCTCATCAAGTCTTCCATGTCTGCTCGGAGCTGCTTGTTCTGCCTCTCAAACTCCTCCTTGGCCTCCAGGGCTTCCTCAAGGGCCCGGGCCAGGGACAGGGCTTTGGTTTCTTTCTCTCTGGCCTCTGCTTCAGCCCGGTCCCGCTCTTCGGCATAGCGAGCGGAGATGTTCTTTTCTTCTGCTAACAGCTTTGCAGAAGGGGATGGGGGAATATTAAAAACCACAACAGTGACATAAACTCTTCCACTAAGTGGCTGATTTATCTGATTTATCCCAAGAGTGCTGCTACTAGATTATGCTGTTCTCATATTTCCTTTTCTTGCTTTTCTGCATTTTCCAATTTTGATATAAATTGGTATATTTAATTGCCTTTAAATAAGATTAAACCAAACCAACAAAAGCAAGAGCTCTGCCAGGAGGAAACAACACATGACCCTGGGTCTTAGGTTTGGGAGTCGGGATGTAGAAGACCCACCTGGTCAAACTTCTTCTGCTTCTTCTCCAAGTTGGAGGCGACCTGGCGCTGGTGGTCCAGGTCCACTGTGAGGTCATCCAGCTCCTGCTGCAGGCGGTTCTTGGTCTTCTCCAGCTTGTCATATGCCAGTGCCTTCTCCTCCAGGCGCTGGCTCAGGGCCTCCGCGTCCTTCAGAAGCTTCTTCTTGGCTTCTTCCAGACTTTCAATGGTTCCCAGGTCATCATCTACTTTCTTCTTGGTATCAGCCAACTAGGTTTTGCATAAGGACAAACAGAAAGATCAGTATTAAAGAACTCAACTGGGGCCGGGCATGGTGGCTCATGCCTGTAATCCCAGCACTTTGGAAGGCCAAAGCGGGGCAGAACACTTGAGGTGAGGAGTTCGAGACCAGCCTGGCCAATATAGGGAAACCTCATCTCTACTAAAAATACAAAAATTGCCTGTCTGTAGTCTCAGCTACTGGGGAGGCTGAGGTGGGAGGATCACTTGAGTCTAGGAGGCAGAAGTTGCAGTGAGCCAAGATCGCGCCACTGTACTCCAGCCTGGGCAACAGAGTGAGACTCTGTCTCAAAAACAAACGAAACAAAAACCCACAAGAAACCTCAACTGGTTTTTGCATTTGAAGAATAAAGAAAAAAATTTTTGTTTTTAATATTCTGAGAGAAGAAAAATCAATACTGTGATTTAAAACAAATGAATCTTAGACTGTCACTTAATTTCTTAGGTAATAGTCTATAAAATGATGACTGGATTGAAACCTTACATAGTTGACACAGTCCTAGGTCTTTATTTTAAGGGCTTCCAGCATTATAAACAGCATGTGGCTGGGTCAAAGAAAAACTATTTAATGGGCTTAATTTAGTATGACCTAATTAACTGTCCCAAATGGCGTTGAGAGAGCCCAGCACAGCAGGGCCAGGAGCTGCTGCAGACACACATCGAGGCCACTGCGGCTTCCTAAAGAGGACGCACACCTGGGACTGCAGGGCCAGCACTTGCTTTTCCAGGTTCTTCCTGGCCTCCTCCTCCTCCTCCTGCTGCTCCTGAAGACTGTTCTTCTCCTCTTCTAGCTGCCGGATCCGACTGCTAAGGTTTAGTTTCTGGCGTGTCTCCTCCTGAAGAAGCTCCTGTGTAATTTTTTTAAAAGGGCAACATGTCCGTTATATTTATCACCAAAACAAATACACCTGTATTAAAGAATTCATGTCATAAAAAAGAGAGAGCGCCTCAGTGCATGAGAATACCCAGTGACATTAACAAACACAGATGATTTAAAAACACACACAATAACTTTGTTCAAGCTCATCACACCAACACTGCTTCAGACTTGTCTCTGAAGACTGAATGGCTGCACCGTCCACCCCAGAGCCCAGGCTGGGGCCTCCAGGCATCCCTGCCACACCCCTGCATCTCCTCAGGCACATCTAGAATCCCTTCCTCTCTACCCACTGCCCCGTCTTAGTTCATGCCCTTCACACTAGGATCACCTCTCCCGTCTTAGGCATCCCTTCAATTATCTGTCCTGTATATTTCCTGCCAGATCGACTTCTAAAATGTAAGCATAGACATGTCTTTCCTGTTACTTTCAGACTAGAAAAGCTTCAAAGGCATTAGTTGTGCAGAGCAGAATTTCTGTGCTCTGGCTCT